GTATACTTAATAGTGTGTGTGTGTGTGTGTGTGTGTGTGTGTGTGTGTGTGTGTGTATGTTTGTGTATGTCTCCTAGTTAGGGCTACCATGACCAAAGAAACTTAGAGAGGAGAGGGTTTATTTGGCTTATGCTTCCACATCAACAGAACTTAGGACAGGACCTCAAACAGGGCAGGAACCTGCAGGCAGGAACTGATGCAGAGGCCTTGGAGAAGTGCTGCCTAGTGACTGGCTCCCCACTGCTTGCTCAGCCTGCTTTCTTATAGAACCCAGGACCACCAGGCAAGAGGTGGTACCACCCACAATTGGCTAGGCCCTCCCCCATCAGTCATTATGAAATGCCCTACATACCTGCCTGCAGCATGATCTCATGAAGGCACTTTCTTAATTGGTATTCTCTCCTCTCAGATGACTTCAGCTTGTGTCAAGTTGACATAAGACTCTCCAGCACAGTGTGTGTATACTAAAAGGGGGCCAGCTGCCCTCTGACCTCCCACACACTCATACACATACACTGTGCTATGTATATAAACCTCCAATAACTGAATAAATAAAATTTTATTTTAAAAGTTTTAATATGATACATGGATTTTAATAAGCCAAAGACCAAAGGTTATGAACAAATTGCCTTCATTAAAAATTTAAAATGAATGTTTTGTGCCTCTCCCCAGGCCCAGAGAAGTGAATTGATCCAGCTGACCTAAGACTGAAATGGCTAGCCTCAAACTTACAAGGATGCTCCTGCCCCAGCCCTCAGCAAATCAGTGATATACATGGATCAAATGTTAGAAAGAGAGTCAATGCATTAATAAACAACAAAAATTAATGCTCAGACTGTCTCCTTATGCTATATTGGAAACACTAATGGCATAATCTTAATTCTAAACAATAAATGCAAGTTTGTATGTATGCATAGGATGGTTCAAAATGTGGAAAAATATGACAGATGAAAGCTTAAGCACATTCGCTCATATTGAAATTGATGACTATTGTCAGAAGGTAGACTCTCATTTTGTTTTTTTATATGTACTCTAATTTATGCATTACTTTATGTTTAGAAAATGTGGTAATTAACCTTCAGTGTTTCAAGAACTTGGGGCACATGCAGCTGGCAAAAAGCAGAAGTTTCGGCAGTGTGCCTTTGTTTCCCCTTTTGCTCTGATGTCTGAACCCCACATTCTGTCCACCCCTCCCCTAACACTCTGTCTCCAGCCTCTGGGGGCTTGGTTGGAGAAAACTTAACTTTTTCAAGCATCAGCTATTCAATGCCTACATCCAGCCCCTCCAGGATGTCATAGTCTGGGTAGATTCAGGCAGAAGAAAGCCATCTTTGTTGTTGTTGTTTTGTTTTTCAAGACAGGGTTTCTCTGTGTAGCTTTGCGCCTTTCCTGGAACTCGCTTTGTAGACCAGGCTGGCCTTGAACTCACAGAGATCCTCCTGCCTCTGACTCCCAAGTGCTGGGATTAAAGTCATGCGCTGCCACCACTGCCCTGCAAAAAAAGCCATCTTCTAAAGTAAGAGTTTGAGTCTCATGGTGATACACAAATCTATGAAGAATTACAAGGTTATAAATGCTAGTAAAGTGAGTCAGATGAAGTCCAAACATTTGTAGGCCAAGGACAGCCAATTAATGGCAAGTGACACATTTATAAATACTGTAGAATAAGGGCTGGGTGCCTGACAGTAGTAGTATTTTTGTGGTGGAAAGTTTCTGTGGTGGATGATAAGCACCAGGGTGGTTGCTAGGTGATGTGAAATGATATGATGCTGTGAAGGGCCTTTGATTCTCCTGGGCTTGTTATCTGTAGAGGACAAACCACTGAGTTGGGGTGCTGGGGAGTAGAGTGAGCTGTAGAGCTGGTTAAGAGCCCTGCAAAGAGGCTGTAATGGAAACCAGGAGAGAGGGATTACTCACTCAGAAGGGACAATGTCAAGACGGGGCATCTTGTGATGGGAAACCAGGAAGGGAGACAGAATCAAATCGGGAAAGAGCTTCATCAGGCACCCAGCAGTGTCTCAGAGTGGGGAGAGGTGCTGGCAGCTGATGAAATCAAACAGGTCTGTTTACAGGCAGGTGCTGACTAACAGGGAAGACCGTGCTGACTAACAGGGATGACCGTGTTGACTAGGGAGGTGGGAGCAGAAATCAGATTCCAAAGGGTTAAAGTGGCAGCGAGGCAATGCACATTAAACCAGACTTCTTAAAATTTCCCACTCTTGACCCCTTTACACCCAAGAAAAGTTGTACATGACCCTAGAAATATAGGTATGTAAAATAGTTTTTCAAACATTTACTGTTAAGTCATAAAGAAGTCCACCTTAAAACAATTCTTTGGTATACACGTTGTTTTATGACGTGTTAAAGATGGAAGCAAAGCTGCATACTAATAAGATGAATGTGGTTATTGAAGAATTAAATCTTAACATAATGCTTGATACTGAAGAACACAGAGTATCTTCAACAGTTTTCAGAGGTCATTTTATAGTCATCACTGCTGACAATGGTGTTTAGCAGAACTACGTAGTACAAGATGGCAGAAGAATTGTCTGGAGCTCTTTCAGAAACTATTAGACATTTTGGTCTAGTCCCAAGCTCAAGTTCAATGTAACAGTTTTTAAATGTCACGTCCTATTTATTTGGGTGTATATGTATGGACTCTCAGGTGCCATAGCTCGGATGTGGAGGTCAGAGGACAACTTGCTGGAGTGGGTTCTCTCTTTTTATCGTGTTGGTCTTTGGGATCGAATTCAGGTTGTTTCACTTGGTAGCAAGTGTCTTCACCTGCTGAGCCGTCTCACCAGGGTCCTCACCCTCATTTTTACCTAAAAGAAGCAAAAGTTTGCTTCATCCAGGTAATTTTTGATTCCAGTGTCATTTCCGGGCCACAGTGAGTCAGAATATCATGGTGGAGGGGCATGGCAGAGATGTGCTCATACATAGCAGTTAGAAGCAGAAAGACGAGGTCAGGACAGGGGCGAAAGGAAGCTGTGCCCTTCAAAGACAGGTCCTCTAGGACCCACTTCCTCCAGGAAGGCCTGTCTCCTAATTTTTACTACCTCCCAAGAAAGCCAATAAATGGCAAACTGTCTAAGGCACAAACCGCTGATGAAGTCAGAGCCGCCATGATCCAGTCTCCTCTTGAGCAAATTTGCCAGCTGGAGACCAAGCCTTCAATACAGGGGAAGTTTCCTCTCCTACCTGTAAGAGATCGTTTGGGGTTGTCTGAATTTCTTTTCAGCTGCTGTGATATAACAACCTGGCAAAAGCAACTCAGTGGAGAGAGGTCTATTTTGGCTCAAGGATCCAGGATATAGTTCATCCTTGTGGGGAAGTTGCAGCAGCAGGTGCCTGGGGGAGCTGACCACATGGTAACTACAGTGAGGAAGCCGACCTT